TTTTTTTTTTCCTCATTGTCGTGCTTTGGAATATGTCCTTTGTCCAAGGCGAAAGAAACCGCCGCAGTTATCCCACAAGGGAATACCAACACACGCCAAAGTCACACGAGTCGGGTGCACAGCCCCTCAGCGAGGCCTTACAAAAGAAAAAGAAATTGAACGACAGAGAAATAACGTGAGAAAAGCACGTGTCACTTAGATGTCTGATACTGTCGATCCCAGTGAAATCGATGCGCTGCTGCGGGAGTTGGAGAGTGTTAGCACAACACCCACCTCCGGTGAAAAAGAGAGCGGGCGGCCTTTTTCCAGCCGCAGATGCGGCTCAGGGAATGTGGACCTGGTCGTCTCGCGCTTCCCGGGACGCACGGGACAAGCACTCTTCTCCACGTACGCCGACACAAGCAACAACGACAGCCGCCGCACGGCTGTTCCTCTCTGGGAGCGCCTGCCACCATTAAGGCCGATCGGCAGTGACGGGAATGGCTCTCCAAAGGCTCCAGCTGGTCGCGGTAACGCGCTGCTGCGTCCAATACTCGGTGGGGGGACTGTAGCCGCCTCGTTGCCGCGGGCTTCCGTTGAGGAGGTGCGAAGCTCCCTGAGCCCGTTGAAAAACGCCCCACACGGGGATTTGCGGCTGCCACAGCAAGAACAGAAGCAGAATCAACAACAACACGAGCAGGTGCCACCAGAAATATCAGATGTAGGAGAACAAGTGTACCGGGAGGCGAACTTTCTTCCCATTATGTGTGCCAGGTATATGAGCCCTGCGGGTCTCACACCACGTGCACGCTGGGGTCACACACTGACACCGATGCAGGGGCACAAGCTATTGATGTTTGGTGGAATGGACATTGAACAGGGGGAGACTTCTGATCTTTTCGAGTACGACACGCATCATGTGGCGTGGGACCCTGTCTTTGTGGTCAACGGCACCTCGCCGACGCCTCGGACGAACCATGCGGCATGCTCATATGAGGGGCGATGGCTATATATTAGCGGAGGGACAACGGAGAGTGGATCACGTATTCTTGGTGATCTTTGGTGCTACGACACCTGCACACAAGAGTGGAAGTGTCTCTGGGAATATAGTAGCAGCTCCGTAGGGAACAAAAACGAGCCGACACCTCGCTTTGGTCATTCGATGATACTTCGTGACGACCGGCTTTACATCTTTGGCGGCAGAACACTGAAGCGCGATCAGAGTGAGGCTCGAAGCACAGCGATCGTCTGCATGTCATCCACAGAGATCTATGTCTTCTCGCTCACCAGTTTTAAATGGAAGAAACGCATTCATGTTTCAAAGGGTGGTGTAACTGCTGAAGAGTCAAAGGCACCAACAGCAGAAACCATCGCCGCCACCGCCACCACAGCAGCAGCAGCAGCAGCCAAAACAACGAAAACAGCAACAATGTCTGTATCAAAGCTGACAGTCGAGCGCCCTGCAAATCGGTGCCACCATGCCGCCTGTCTTTTAAGTGATAGAATGTATATCAATGGCGGTGTGGGTGAAAATGGGTCTACCTTGAGTGATACATGGATGTTCGACTTTAGGGAACAGCGGTGGGTCGTGCTGCATGATGGCGGCAGCGCGGATGCGTTTCCGCGGCAGAAGCATAGCCTCTTTGTGTGTGGTGAGGCACTGCTGGTAGTGGGCGGGTGCAGTGCGAGTGGGCACAGCGGCCGCATCACAGTAAAGTACCATAACTTTGTCGCGGTGCTGCCGCTGCAGGGAGACGTGGCGCCGTGCTGGATCCCAGTTGCGATGGGGAATGTCGCCATTGTGGCGCCCAACAAGAAATCTTTTGGCGCCGCCTTCAGCGGTGGGTTTGTCCATGTCTTTGGTGGCATGTGCGGCAGCGAGCCCGCCTCCAACGCAATGGTGCGGTTTCTCGCAGCGGACGGCTGTTTATCGACGGACGCGCGTGGAACGGTAGCGGCTAACGAAGATGCACTCCGCTCAATGATGCGCCACATGCGTGACGGTGGCGGGTCGGCCGCGTACGACACATACGTGCTGCCGCGCAGCTGGAACGGAGATACCGCGGTTGACACGTTGAACAACCGGCAGTACGGCTTGCACCGTGTGCTCGCGCAGCAGCGGGCACCAAAATTCTGGGAGGACCTCACGCGGTGCCGCATGGAGCAGGTCAGACCCTCCGGCAAACGCTCGACGGAGACATCCATCAACTTGGGAATAGGGACGGATGCACCAGCACCAGCATCAGATGGCGCATACCAGAATAACGTTGTTGCATACTACACCGAAGGAAACTCGAGAGTTCAAGGGCTCTCGCTACCCCTGTCAGGAGATCAACTGCACTGCCTGTTGGACTATATTTACTGGGGTGAGGTGCGCCACCGTATACTTTCTGAGTTTGAGGAGGAGGAAAACGGCGAGGATGTGGACGCACCGGTACGGAAGAGTGTTGCGCAGGAAGAGGCGAACGTTATACAGGTCCTGCGACGCGCAGCAGAGCTGTATGAACTGTCCCCACTCCTCGACATATGTGACGCGCTGCTCTCACGCAGCCGCAAGAAGTTGAGGCAGGCACAAGAGCGCAGCATTAAGCAGCTGCAGGAGGATCTCTTGTCTCTGTTGAAAAGTGGTACTGGTGCCAGTGTGACGGTGCTTTTCGTTGACCCCCATACAAAGCAGCAGGTTGCCCACTCACTGCATCCATTCATCCTCATGGCCTCCAACTCCTTCTTTAACGACCTGCTTCGACCTCTGCTGAGCGGTGAAAAGACATCTTTTCAAGTGGGACCCGTCGCAGCGAAGGTTCGTGCTGGTGGACGCGGCCCCTCACAGACACGGCGTGGTATTCTTGTTGGCCCCGTTTCCGTGCCGTACCTCGCGGTGCAGCCGCTCCTGCAGTACTTCTACACGCAGCGACTCAGTGTCCCGCGAGAGGCGGTGTTTGCGACGATGCTGGGCGCCCACCTGCTCGATGTGCCGCCGCTGCAGGCATTCTGTGAAGCGATTCTGGCACGAGAGGAGGTGAACTACGACACGTCAGGGCAATTTTACTCCCTGGCGGGGAAGTACCAGGCGGCACTGCTGCAGGAAGTAGCTCTCCTTACTGCGGTGCTTGGCTACGCGGAGGTGCGCCACTCGCCGAGCTACAAGGCGCTGAGTGAGAAGGAGNCTCCTTACTGCGGTGCTTGGCTACGCGGAGGTGCGCCACTCGCCGAGCTACAAGGCGCTGAGTGAGAAGGAGGCACGTGAGATTGAGGCAGTGGCGCTGGAGTTAGGCGCCACGTCATGGATTGCCCCGCCGCAGCCAGTGAGTGAAGTGAAGCCAGCGGCGGTGTACCAGGCCCGATGGAATATGTCGTCGCCCTGAGATAAAGACTACGTTTGATTACATATATATATATATATATACATATATATTGATCTCAATATATGCATCCGTCTGAGTGTGTGTGTGTTAGTTTCGTTTCGTTGTTGTTGTTGTTGTGTGATATCAAACAACCCGTTATTATGTGTGCGTGTGTGCCTTGGCGTCTGGGCGAGGCGAGACCCCCCCCCCCCC